TGGAGTGATGTCCAAATACCCCCCCCCCCCGAGTCCAAAAGAAGAAGCGGTGCGTCCACACTCCAGAGCCCGTTATTTCGAAATCGGGACTCCGGCGTTCCTCGGGGAATAACGCGCATTCCGAAATCGTGATTTCGAAAGAGCCGCCGTGTGGACGCGCCGGTGCCGCTATTCGGAATAACGATTCCCCAGAGTCATTCGAAGTAATGACGCCGCAGTGCTTCCTGGGGCTCTAAGTCGAGGTAGCGTGTCTACGCTAATGAAGCCTTCCTCAGACTCATTTCGAGGCTTCCCTGGAGTGGGGACGCGCTAGTTCGATTTTGTTATTTTGGGAGTTATTATTTCGAATGTCGTTATTTTGAAAGAGTTAAGAACATAAGAAGGGCCAGACGGGGTCAGACCAAAGGTCCATCTAGCCCAGTGTCCTGTCTGCCGACAGTGGCCAATGCCAGATGCCCCAGAGGGAGGGATCACAACACCAGTCAGTCTGCAGGAAGCCCAGGGAGTCAGGCTGGGGGTGCCCTGCTCAGCCCCCTACAGTTAAATGCCCCAGGCAGCCAGTTTCTTGGGCCCACCCCATAGCCCCTCCACATTCCCATCAAAATGTGTGTTGAGGGAAGGTTGATCTGGAGTAGACGCTGGAGTGGAACTCAAGACCAGTGATCAGTTCCCAGTTCTGGCACCGACTCCCTATGGTGGCCTTGGTCACGTCTCTTAGTTCCTCTGTGCCTCGCTTTCCCCTCTGTACAGTGGGCGTGATAATACTGCCCTTGGCCTGTCCTGCGAGATGGTATGATGTCGCCCACTGTGAGGTCGGGGAGAGCTGTCGGCTTCTTAGCGCTTTTGCGACCCTGACTGGGACTCAAAGAGATGAAGTTTGGTTCTTATTTTTCCAAATTCTTGCCGTGATCCATCTTAGCCTTTTTAGGAGATTCAGTCCCTCCACCTTGGACCATGTTTTGACATGGTTTAGTCCAGTTTATCTTCAGGGTTCAGAAAAGGGCAACAAAAATGATTAGAGATTTGGAATGGCTGCTATATGAAGAGAGGTTAAAAAGACCGGGAGTTATCAGGTAGAAAAGAGGAGACTAAGGCGGGGATGTGATAGAGATCTATGAAATCATGAGTGGAGTGGAGAAAGTGAATAAGGAAAATGTATTTACTTGTTCCCTTAACATTAGAACGAGGAACTTCAGGGGGTAGCCGAGTTAGTCTGTTACAGAAAAAAACAGCAAGCAAATGATCTGGTAGACTTCATAGAATTAACAAAACATGTAGATGGTATCATGAGCTTTTGTGGGCACAGCCCACTTCTTACTCTGGTCATCTGAAGAACTGGGCTGTGTCCATGTGAGCTCATGATACCATCTACATGTTTTGTTAGTCTATAAAGTGCTACCCGACCATTGGGAATCAGAGACAAGATGGGTAAGTTAATATCTTATATTGGACCAACTTTTTTTTGGTAAAAGAGACAAGCTCCTGAGCTCCAGAGGGCTCTTCTTCAACTCAGAAACCAAGAGGAACATGAATGAGCTTTCGTGGGCACAGCCCACTTCTTCAGATGACCGGAGTTGTGACTAGGGGGATAAGAAAACTCGAAATAAATAAGAAAAGGGAAGGGGCGGGAGGGATCACCAAATCAAATTAATAGGTAGCAGGTTTAAAACAAACAAACGGAAGTTTTTCTTCATGCAGCACACAACCTGTGGAACTCCTTGCCAGGGGATGTTGTGAAGACCAGGATGTTAACAGAAAAGAGCTAGATAAATCCATGGAGGACAGGTCAATCAATAGCTATTAGCCAATTTGGGTAGGGAATGGGTGACAGGGGAGGGGTCACTTGATGATTCTCTGTTCTGTTCACTCTCTCTGGGGCAGCTGGTGCTGGCCACTGTCGGCAGACAGGACACTGGGCTAGATGGGCCTTTGGTCCGACCCAGTCTGCCCATTCTTATGTTCTTGTGTCCGCCTCTTCTTGTGGACAGCCACGCGATAGCCCAAGAGGGGCAATATCACACCCAAGTCTTTGTCCTTTGCACGGAAGGTCCCACATGTTAAATATGACACGCCCAGGGCAGGTCTGCACAGCACGGGCTAGCCAACCTAGCGTGGGTAACTGTATCAGCACAACGCTGGCTTCAGCGTCGGTGGTACAGCCCTAGATACGTACCTGGCTCACAATATCTCTCTGAAGGCTGCATGGTGGTGTCTTCCGTGCTGGTTCCTGTGCGAGCTGCATTCAGGCTAGCGCAGGCTGGCTGGTCTGGCCTTGTTGGTCTAGGGCATAGGTTCCCAAACTGGGGGGGGTTGTGAAGCAATTCCGTGTGTGTGTGTGTGTGTGTGTGTGTGTGAGATCCAGTCCCCTTTCGTCTCCCCCCCCATTAATCTCCTCCCCTAAGAAAGAGTCCGGTCTGTGCAGCTTGGGCTGGCTGGGGCAGGTGGAGGATGGAGCATCCCGGGCAAACTTCAAAATGGCTGCCTTAAAAAGGTAATGTCTGCTTTTAAAAGGGCAGCTTTTTTTTTTTTCACAACAAATTTTGCAGCTTTTTTGGGGGTGCGGGGATGAGGGTGTCTCAAAAATCAAAAAGGGGGCCTGATGCCAAAAAGTTTGGGAACCACTGATCTCAAGGGTCTGAGTCTTGCTTAGAGTGCAGGAGGTCCTGAGTTCAAATCCTGGATGAGTCTGCATCTTTAGCACCTAGCAGCGCCAGGGCGGGTAGCTAGACCGAAGATTTTCTGCTTTGGGAAGGGGGTTGGGCTCCGTGGCCTCCTGAGGTCCCTGCCAGCCCTCGGATTCCATGGTCTGTTGCTTCTGCAACGTAGGACTATTCTGATACAAAGCGTGGTGTGTCCCACTCACTGGCTCTCGTCCCGCAGGGAGTTCGGAGTGCGTGCGGCTTTTGATAGAGGTCGGGGCCAAACTGGAGGCCCACGACTGCCACTTCGGAACCCCTCTGCACGTGGCCTGTGCCCGGGAGCATGTGGATTGCGTCAAGTTACTGCTCAATGCAGGTACGGCCCAGCCGAACGGTTTGTGTCAGGGCGCGCGGTAGGAATATAGAAGGGTCGTCGATTCGTAGACTACCCAGTAAGTCTAGGCTTATTGGGTAGTCAAGTCAACTACTCTCTCCCCTCCCCTTCGCTGCCTCGGTATCAGAGGCAGCAAGGGAGGGGGGAAGCAAGAGCCAGTGTGGAGGGGGAGCCAGCTTAAAAGCCGGTTCCCGCCAGCACTGTCTCTGTGGTGTGGAGGGGGCAGGGGTCTGGGACAGCAGCATGGGGGCTGGGAAGGCTGCTGTGAAGTAGCCTCTAAGCTAAGACCCCCCCCCCACCGACACTGCTGCCTCTGTATCAGAGGCAGCAGTGCAGAGCAGCAGGGTGGTCCTCAGGAGAGGGGCCGGGAACGCTCTGGCTGCTGGCTCCGCCCCCAGGGCCTATCGAATAGTCGCGTAACTGCTAAAATGTGATGTGGTTACATGACGATTCAACTACACGCCGTCTAACAACCCTAGTATTCACCCGTCAGCTCGATGGAACAGCTAGCAGGAAGAGGTGGGACGGAGAACAGCCTTCTGGCTTGGGTTTATCTGTTCACATTTTTTCAGCAGAAATGAGAATGAACACGATTTGGTCCGTGGTTGGTGGGCGCTGAAGGGTGTCCGGCTCTCCAGACCCTGCAATCCCAGCAGAACTAGATGTTTCTGTTAAAAATGAAATCGTTAACAGTGTGACATCACAAATGGGCTTACATTGCAGCAGGGGAGGTTTAGGTGGGACATTAGGAAAAGCTTCCTATAAATTACCTAGGGAGGTTGTGGAAGCGCCATCTCTGGAGATATTTAAGAGCAGGTTGCACAGACACCTGTCAGGGATGATCTAGATAGCGCAGGGGACTGGACTCAATGTCTCTTGAGGACCTTTCCAGTTCTCCTGTTCTGTGAGTCTATGAGGGTATGTCTACACTAGCCCCCTAGTTCGAATTAGGGAGGCTAATGTAGGCATTTGAAGTTGCGAATGAAGCCCGGGATTTAAATTTCCCGGACTTCATTTGCATCTTCCCATCCGGACGCCGTTTTTAAATCCCCTTAGTCCGAAGTAACTGCCCGCGGCTACACAAGGCAGTCAAACGTTAACTCGAACTAAGGACTTAGTTTGAATTAACTGTTACTCCTCGTTGAATGAGATGTAACAGTTAACTCAAACTAAGGACTTAGTTTGAATTAACTGTTACTCCTCGTTGAATGAGATGTAACCGTTAACTCGAACTAAGGACTTAGTTTGAATTAACTGTTACTCCTCGTTGAATGAGATGTAACAGTTAACTCAAACTAAGGACTTAGTTTGAATTAACTGTTACTCCTCGTTGAATGAGATGTAACCGTTAACTCGAACTAAGGACTTAGTTTGAATTAACTGTTACTCCTCGTTGAATGAGATGTAACCGTTAACTCGAACTAAGGACTTAGTTTGAATTAACTGTTACTCCTCGTTGAATGAGATGTAACCGTTAACTCGAACTAAGGACTTAGTTTGAATTAACTGTTACTCCTCGTTGAATGAGATGTAACCGTTAACTCGAACTAAGGACTTAGTTTGAATTAACTGTTACTCCTCGTTGAATGAGATGTAACCGTTAACTCGAACTAAGGACTTAGTTTGAATTAACTGTTACTCCTCGTTGAATGAGATGTAACCGTTAACTCGAACTAAGGACTTAGTTTGAATTAACTGTTACTCCTCGTTGAATGAGATGTAACCGTTAACTCGAACTAAGGACTTAGTTTGAATTAACTGTTACTCCTCGTTGAATGAGATGTAACCGTTAACTCGAACTAAGGACTTAGTTTGAATTAACTGTTACTCCTCGTTGAATGAGATGTAACCGTTAACTCGAACTAAGGACTTAGTTTGAATTAACTGTTACTCCTCGTTGAATGAGATGTAACCGTTAACTCGAACTAAGGACTTAGTTTGAATTAACTGTTACTCCTCGTTGAATGAGATGTAACCGTTAACTCGAACTAAGGACTTAGTTTGAATTAACTGTTACTCCTCGTTGAATGAGATGTAACCGTTAACTCGAACTAAGGACTTAGTTTGAATTAACTGTTACTCCTCGTTGAATGAGATGTAACCGTTAACTCGAACTAAGGACTTAGTTTGAATTAACTGTTACTCCTCGTTGAATGAGATGTAACCGTTAACTCGAACTAAGGACTTAGTTTGAATTAACTGTTACTCCTCGTTGAATGAGATGTAACCGTTAACTCGAACTAAGGACTTAGTTTGAATTAACTGTTACTCCTCGTTGAATGAGATGTAACCGTTAACTCGAACTAAGGACTTAGTTTGAATTAACTGTTACTCCTCGTTGAATGAGATGTAACCGTTAACTCGAACTAAGGACTTAGTTTGAATTAACTGTTACTCCTCGTTGAATGAGATGTAACCGTTAACTCGAACTAAGGACTTAGTTTGAATTAACTGTTACTCCTCGTTGAATGAGATGTAACCGTTAACTCGAACTAAGGACTTAGTTTGAATTAACTGTTACTCCTCGTTGAATGAGATGTAACCGTTAACTCGAACTAAGGACTTAGTTTGAATTAACTGTTACTCCTCGTTGAATGAGATGTAACCGTTAACTCGAACTAAGGACTTAGTTTGAATTAACTGTTACTCCTCGTTGAATGAGATGTAACCGTTAACTCGAACTAAGGACTTAGTTTGAATTAACTGTTACTCCTCGTTGAATGAGATGTAACCGTTAACTCGAACTAAGGACTTAGTTTGAATTAACTGTTACTCCTCGTTGAATGAGATGTAACCGTTAACTCGAACTAAGGACTTAGTTTGAATTAACTGTTACTCCTCGTTGAATGAGATGTAACCGTTAACTCGAACTAAGGACTTAGTTTGAATTAACTGTTACTCCTCGTTGAATGAGATGTAACCGTTAACTCGAACTAAGGACTTAGTTTGAATTAACTGTTACTCCTCGTTGAATGAGATGTAACCGTTAACTCGAACTAAGGACTTAGTTTGAATTAACTGTTACTCCTCGTTGAATGAGATGTAACCGTTAACTCGAACTAAGGACTTAGTTTGAATTAACTGTTACTCCTCGTTGAATGAGATGTAACCGTTAACTCGAACTAAGGACTTAGTTTGAATTAACTGTTACTCCTCGTTGAATGAGATGTAACCGTTAACTCGAACTAAGGACTTAGTTTGAATTAACTGTTACTCCTCGTTGAATGAGATGTAACCGTTAACTCGAACTAAGGGCTTAGTTTGAATTAACTGTTATTCCTCTTTGAATGAGATGTAACAGTTAACTCGAACTAAGGACTTAGTTTGAGTTAACGTTTGACTGCCGCATGTAGTTAGTTCGGACTAAGGGGATTTAAAAATGGCGCCCGGACGAGAAGATGCAAATAAAGCCCGGGATATTTAAATCCCGGGCTTCATTTGCAACTTCGAATGCCTACATTAGCCTCCCTAGTTCGAACTAGGGGGCTAGTGTAGACATACCCTGAGAGATGATGTAGCCAGAGCAAAGCTAGCTGCATTGGGCTTTACTGCTGTCGTTTTGTTTATGCTCCCAGGGGCAAATGTGAATGCAGCCAAACTCCATGAGACAGCCCTTCACCACGCAGCCAAGGTGAAAAATGTGGATCTGGTAGAGATGCTGATTGAATTTGGAGGAAACGTTTATGCCCGGGACAACCGGGGGAAGAAACCGTCCGACTACACGTGTGAGACGAGCCCGACGGCCAAGTGCCTGCAGTACTATGAAAGTAAGTGAGGCAAAGTCCCTTCTCCCACCGCTGTGCTAGAACTTGTTTCCGCTTCAGCAGGCTGGTCATCATCACGGGCCTTCCTGGCCTTAAACTCGATGCGTCTTAGGGCTGCCATTTTCTCCCCATCGCATCATCTCCTTGTTCCTCGTGGAATTGGACACGGAGCAGAAAAGGGCAACCGAAATGATCGGGGTGTTAAAAAGACGGGGACTGTTTAGCTGGGAAACGAGACGACTAAGGGAGATGTGACAGAGGTCTATAAAATCACGACTAGCGTGGAGAAGGTAAATAAGGAAGTGTTGTGTACTCCTCACAACGCACGACCTAGGGGTCACCACATGAAATGAATAGGCAGCAGGTTTAAAGAAAAACCAAAAAGAAGTATTTCTTCACACAAGCATAGAATCATACGACTAGAAGAGGCCTTGGGAATTCATTCTAGTCCAGTCCCCTGCCCTCACGGCAGGGCTAAGTTTTATCTAGATCATTCCTCACAGGGGTTCTGTCTTATGAACTACATTTCTAAAAGTTTTCTGGTAAAATGTGAGATATGATATAACATCCATAAACAACAATGTCCAGTCCAGTTATGTAAATTCATTCCTTAAGTGCAACTCATTCAAATAAGATGTTCAAGAGTATATTAGAATCATAGAACTGGAAGAGACCTCAGAAGGTCATCAAGTCCAGCCCCCTGCTCTAGGCAGGACCAGTTCCAACTAAATCAACCCGGCCAGGGCTTTGTCAAGCCGAGACTTGAACACCTCTAGGGATGGAGACTCCACTACTTCCCTAGGTAACCCATTCCAGTGCTTCACCACCCTCCTAGTGAAATAGTTTTTCCTAATATCCAACCTGGACCTTTTCCTATCCTCAGAGGCCAAGGAGAACAATTTGTCTCCCTCCTCCTTGTAACACCCTTTTCGGTACTTGAAAACTGCTCTCATGTCCCCCCCCAGTCTTCTCTTTTCCAAACTAAACAAATCCAGTTCCTTCAGTCTTCCCTCATAGCTCATGTTCTCTAGACCTTGCATCATTTTTGTTGCTCTTTTCTGGACCCTCTCCAATTTCTCCCCATCTTTCTTGAAATGTGGCGCCCAGAACTGGACACAATACTCCAACTGAGGCCTAATCAGTGCAGAGTAGGGCGGAAGAATGACTTGTCGTGTCTTGCTCACAACACTCCCTTTTGCTTTTTTGCAACAGGGTCACACTGTTGGCTCATGTTTAGCTTGTGGTCCACTCTGACTCCTAGATCCCTTTCGGCAAGACTCCTTCCTAAACAGACGCTTCCCATTCTGTGTGTGTGAGACAAGTCACGTATACCGCATCTACCGCTTCCCCCTATCCACAAAGCTTGTTACCCTGCCAAAGAAAGCTCTCGGGTTGGTTTGACGTGATTTGTTCGTGGCAAATCCAAGCTAACACTTAGGGTAGGGCTACGCTACGGGATAAGGTTGAATTACGATACGCAACTTCAGTTACATTAATTGTGTAGCTGAAATCAAAGGACCTTAACTCAGCTTTTGGTGCTGTCCATGCTGCAGGAAGTCGGGGGGAGCATGTTCTTCCTTCGACTTCCCTTACTCCTCGTAGAAGCAGGATTCCCCGCATCGACCGGAGCTCCCCTCCGTTCGAATTAGCATGTCTTCACTAGACCCGCTAATTCGAACCCCGGAAGATCGACAGCGGCAGATTTGATCTTCTCTGTAGTATAGCCATAGACTTACTTATCACCTTATTATTGTCTAGATGTTTGCAAATTGTTTGCTTAATTATTTGCTCCATTATCATTCCTGGGATAGAAGTTGAGCTGACTGGTCTGTAATTTCTCGAGTTGTCCATATTTCTCTTTTTATAGATGGGCGTTATATTTGCCCTTTTCCAGTCTTCTGGAATCTCTTCCGTCTTCCATGAATTTCCAAAGGTAATAGCTAATGGCTCGTCCTCAGTCAGCTCCTTTGTGTTCTGGGATGCATTTCATCAGGCCCTGATGACCTGAAAACATCTGATTTGATTAGGCAATTTTTGTAATTGTGCTTTTCCTATTTTAGTCTCTGATCCTACCTCATTTTCACCGGCATTTACTACATTAGGCGTCCAATCAGCACCAACCTTCTTGGTGAAAACCAGAATGGAGTCATTGAAAGCACCTTTGCCATTTCCACATTTCTCTTGTTATCCCCCCCATCCCTCCCGACGCACTCCATGAGTAACAGGCCTGTCTTGTCCTTGGGCTTCTTCTTGCTTCTGACGTCTTTATGGAATGTTTTCTTGTCACCCTTTATGCCTCTAGCTGGTTTGATTTTGGCCTTTCCAGTTGTGTTCCTACGTACTTGTGTGGTTTGCTTATGTTCATCCTTTGTGATTTGGCCTCGTTTCCACTTTTTGTAGGACTCTTTTTGGATTTTCAGATCACCAAAGATCTCCTGGTTAAGCCAAGTGGCCTCTTGCCCTACTGTCTATCTGTCCTGCACAGTGGGATAATTTGCTATTGAACATAAGAATGGCCGTACTGGGTTAGACCAAAGGTCCATCTATCCCAGTATCCTGTCTGTGGGCAGTGGCCAACACCAGGTTCCCCAGAGAGGGTGGACCGAAGACAATGATCAAGCGATTTGTCTCCTGCCATCCCTCTCCAGCCTCTGACAAACAGAGGCCAGGGACACCAATTCTATCCCCTGGCTAATAGCGTTATCCCCTGGCTAATAGCCTTTTATGGACCTAACCTCCATGAAATTATCTAGCTTCTCTTTAAACTCTGTTAGAATCCTAGCCTTCACAGCCTCCTCTGGCAAGGAGTTCCACAGGTTGACTACACGCTGTGTGAAGAAGAACTTTCTTTTATTAGTTCTGCTAATTGGGCCCATAATAATGTCTCTTTGAAAAACTGCCAGTTCTCTTGACTTGCTTCCCAGGGGATCTTAGCTACCAACTCCCTGAGTTTAACATCTGCCTTCCTGAAATCCATTGTCTTCATTTTGCTGTTCTCCCTCCTACGCTTCCTTAGAATCATGAACTCTACCATTCCATGATCACTTTCACCCAAGCTGCCTTCCACTTTCAGATTCTCCACCCGTTCCTCCCTATTTGTCAAAATCAAAGCTAGGACAGCGCTCCCCTTCTTCCCACCCAAGTCACTTTCTCCACTTTCTGGAATAAAAAAAAAAGGTCTCCAATACATTCCAAGAACTTGTGGGATAATCAGTGACCTGCGTGTTGCTTTCTCAGCCAATGGAAGGGTAGTTGAAGTCCCCCATCACCGGCACATGCTTTGGAGGATTTTGTTAGTTGTTTAAAAGAGCCTCGTTTTCCCGTGGGGTGCTCCATCCTGAGGCTCCGCCTCTCACTCCACCCTCATACCCCTCCCTCGCTCCGCCTCCTCTTGCCCCACCCCCTCCCTAAGTTCCCCACCCACTGGTGTCTGGTCTCCGCCCTCCTCCAGTCCCCTCCCTGAGCCGCCAAACCCCGCCGGCCAGCACGGGCTGGCGAAGATTGCCAAGTTAAATATCCCTCGGCCATTGAGGAAATACCTCTCCTACAACTGACCGGAAGAAGGTGACGCCGAAGGACGATATCCTTAGACCCACCGGATGAAGTCCCTTGTCTCTCCCTCCCTTCCCATCAGAATCCCCTTTAATTTAAGTTAATTGGTGTAAAAACTTTTTGCCAGCACGGGCTGGCGAAGATTGCCAAGTTAAATATCCCTCGGCCATTGAGGAAATACCTCTCCTACAACTGACCGGAAGAAGGTGACGCCGAAGGACGATATCCTTAGACCCACCGGATGAAGTCCCTTGTCTCTCCCTCCCTTCCCATCAGAATCCCCTTTAATTTAAGTTAATTGGTGTAAAAACTTTTT